CCATCCCTTGACCGCACCCGGGCATCGATTAGCCTCCCATTATATCTGTACCATATGGAGATTCCCCCGGTACAGCTATTGAAGGCTTCACGAACTACGTGGTCAAAATAGATGTTAAATAATGTGGGAGCCAGAGGACATCCCTGTCGCACCCCAAGGTGTACAGGGAATGGCTCTGACTCCCGGCCACGTAGTTTTACCCGGGCCCGCTCACCATCATGAAGGTCCTTAATGATCGTGAGCAGAGGGTCAGGTACTCCAAAAGCACGAAGAACGACCCAGAGCCCAGGCCTACTGATGGTATCATAGGCCTTGACCAGGTCAATAAAGCAGAGATGTAGGTCTTGTTGGAATTCCCTACACCTCTGCTGTAGCAGACGGACAGAAAATATGGCATCTGTGCAGGACCGCCCTTTCCTGAAACCGCATTGGGGCTCCGCAAGCCTCTCCTCAGCGTGTCTGGCAAGGCGATGCTGAATAATCCTTGCCAGGACCTTTCCCGGCACACTGAGGAGTGAGATGCCCCTGTAGTTGTTACAGTCTGTGCGGTCCCCCTTCTTAAAAAGGGGGACCACCAGGGCATCCTTCCAATCCTGCGGAACCCGTCCAGTGGTCCAGACTGTTGTTATGATGTCATATAGGGCAGTCTGTGCACAAACGCCACCCTCCCTCAGCATTTCGCTTGGGAGATCATCTCTGCCCGCTGCCTTTCCTGGTCTCAGACTCCGGATCGCCTTCAATACTTCCTCAGCAGATGGCACCTCAGCCAGCCACTCACAGGGGGTGACTTCATCCAATATTTGAGGCACCGCAGCCTCAGCAGGGTCATCCTCACTTTGTGCCACGATGTTTTCCTGGCTGTGGGATTTTCCCTCCCCCAGGACCTCACAGAAATGCTCAGCAAATCTGCGAACCTGTTCCTGGGGGTCGGAAATTGGATCACCGTTTTTTCCCCTAATGATGGTAATAGGTGTGGCGCTGCAGGTTACTTTTTTGATGGAGTTAAATAGCGATTTGTGATCACGGGCCACTGAGGCAGACTCCATCTCCTCAGCAACCCGCGACCACCACCCATCCTTGCAGCGCCTCACGGCTCTCCGAACCTCCGAGCGAAGGCTGCGGTAAGCCTCCTCATTCTCTGACGTGGGATTCTGTAGCCGATGACAGTGGGCCTGTCGCTTTTTCTCAACCATCCTGAACAACTCCTCTGTCATCCAGGGTGTCTGGGGAGGTCTGGACCGCGTACCCAAAGCAGCCATTGCAGCTGCATGAGTCACAGTCCTAAACCTCGCCCATTTACCCTCGACATCAGGAGGAGTCGGGGACGATGCCAATCCCAGCCGCAAGCGATGATGAAATTCTCGCTTGCAACTTTCATCAGATAACTGAGACCAGGCCACTTTAGGTTGGAATGGGGTCCTGGGTGTACACCCACCACCGGAGTGGAAGAATGGCAGGCGCATCTTACAGATGACTAGTCGATGGTCAGAGGGCAGATCAGCTCCACGGTAGGTCCTGGTGTCAAGGACATGGGCTCGCATTCGCTGGTCCGTCACTATGTAGTCCAGCAGATGTTCTTGCTTGGACCCGGCATGCATCCATGATGTTGTGTGGATGCGCCGATGCCGGAACAGCGTGTTGGTAATTACAAGCCCATGGGCTGCACAAAAATCTAGCAGCCTCCTACCGTTGTTATTGAGCTGATCTGGCCCATGCCCTCCAATCACTCCAGACCAGGTGCCAGTATCATGACCAACTCGGGCATTGAAGTCACCCAGCATGATGACTCTATCCCGAGGGGCCACTTTAGCCAGCACCTGTGACAGGAGGTCATAGAAGGCATCTGACTCATCGGCTTTGCCTGCATCCCTCCACGGATGTTCATCTTCGGTGGGGGCATAAGTAACCACGACCACCATTCCTCGCCTCCGGTTGATGGGAAGGCGAGCCCAAAGTAGCCTGGGGCTTACAGCTTCCCACACCTCACCGCCACGCTCCCACGCCCCCTTCATTCTTTTGTTCAAAAGAAGACCCACACCCTGTTGTTTGGCAGTCTGCTGCCCCGAGTAGAGGACTGTCCACCCCTCATGGTGGCAGGAGCCAGAGCCGGTCCACCGGACCTCCTGAATGCCGCATAGATCCAGGCGGTACCGGTCCAGCTCCCGACAGAGGAGTGGCAGCCTCTCCTCTGCAGTGAGCGTTCGAACATTCCACGTGGCCACCCGTAGTGGCTTTTCGTTGTTTCTGGAGTAGCCCCGAGGGTAGGTATTCAATCTCCTGGCTCCGCCAATTGGGGTTTGGCCAGGAGACGTCATAGACGCCTGGCCCCCCGGGGCCTCCGGCACAAGCTTAGTTGTTACATATTTCACTTTAATTCGTGGTTTTGTGGTAATTAATTGAAGGTGGAGGGGTTACCAGCCCCTCGCACCCGTCCAGAGCCCCCGTTTAGCCCCTGTGGTGGACACATATGCCATGAGGGGAGGAGCCAATCAAAATTGGAACTCCCCCCACAGCACTGTCCACGACAGAGTTGCCCGTCCGGCACCGCGAGGAGGTAGGGGGTTGTTTTGCCGGACAACATACACACATCAACATACATACATCAACATATACACATCAACATACATATATCAACATACATAAATCAACATACACACATCAACATATTACATCAACATACATACATCAACATACATACATTAACATACACACATCAACATACACACATCAACATACACACATCAACATACACACATCAACATACATACATTAACATACATACATCAACATACATACATCAACATACATGCATCAACATATATACATCAACATACACACATCAACATACACACATCAACATACACACATCAACATACATACATCAACATACATACATCACCATACATACATCAACATACACACATAAACATACATACATCAGCATACATACATCAACATACATACATCAACATACATACATCAACATACATACATTAACATACACACATCAACATACATACATCAACATACATACTTACATCAACATACACACATCACCATACATACATCAACATAATACATCAACATACATACATCAACATACACACATCAACATACACACATCAACATACACACATCAACATACACACATCAACATACACACATCACCATACATACATCAACATACATACATCAACATACATACATCAACATACATACATCAACATACACACATCAACATACACACATCAACATACACACATCAACATACACACATCAACATACATACATCAACATACACACATTAATATACACACATCAACATACACACATCAACATACACACATCAACATACACACATCAACATACATACATCAACATACATACATCAACATACATACATCAACATACATACATCAACATACACACATCACCATACATACATCAACATACATCAACATACATACATCAACATACATACATCAACATACACACATCAACATACACACATCAACATACACACATCAACATACACACATCAACATACATACATCAACATACATACATCAACATACATACATCAACATACATACATCAACATACACACATCAACATACACACATCAACATACACACATCAACATACATACATCAACATACACACATCAACATACATACATCAACATACATCAACATACATACATCAACATACACACATCAACATACACACATCAACATACACACATCAACATACATACATCGACATACACACATCAACATACACACATCAACATACATACATCAACATACATACATCAACATACACACATCAACATACACACATCAACATACACACATCAACATACACACATCAACATACACACATCAACATACATACATCAACATACACACATCAACATACACACATCAACATACATACATCAACATACACACATCAACATACACACATCAACATACATACATCAACATACACACATTAACATACACACATCAACATACATACATCAACATACACACATCAACATACACACATCAACATACACACATCAACATACATACATCAACATACACACATCAACATACACACATCAACATACACACATCAACATACACACATCAACATACACACATCAACATACACACATCAACATACACACATCAACATAAACACATCAACATACACACATCAACATACACACATCAACATACACACATCAACATAAACACATCAACATACACACATCAACATACATACATCAACATACACACATCAACATACATACATCAACATACACACATCAACATACATACATCAACATACACACATCAACATACACACATCAACATACATACATCAACATACACACATCAACATACATACATCAACATACACACATCAACATACATACATCAACATACACACATCAACATACACACATCAACATACATACATCAACATACACACATCAACATACACACATCAACATAAACACATCAACATACACACATCAACATACATACATCAACATACACACATCAACATACATACATCAACATACACACATCAACATACATACATCAACATACACACATCAACATACACACATCAACATACATACATCAACATACACACATCAACATACACACATCAACATACACACATCAACATACACACATCAACATAAACACACGCAGCAAACATCTCCCGGTGTCATCTTTGCGAGGCTCAAATGAGTGTGGGAAGGGACTCGTCTCCCGTTTACAGCCACGTGACATTTGTGGGAATTCCACATTCCTATGACAGGGGGAGGGGGGCGTAGCAATTCCTTAGGGCCAGGTTCACATCATAGTGCAGGGGAAAAAGTAGCGAAAAAAGGTTTAACTTTTTTGCTCATTAAATAATTTCACATACCCCCGCACACCCCCTCCTCGCACCCCCTCCCCTCCCGACGCCCACCCTGCCCCCCTCCCCCCGTGCAGGAGGGGTTCACAATGGCGAGTACGTGAAGTGGCTGCACTGCTACGAGCCCGAGAGGAACGCGTGGGCCAAGCGTGCCGACATGAGCACCAAGCGCGCCATCCACGTGCTCGCCGCGCTCGGCAGCCGCCTCTACGCCATCGGGGGCAACCACCTCAAGGGTAAAGTATGGGTGGGGGGTGGGGGTGGGGGGTGGGGGTGGTGTGGGGGGTGGAGGGGTGGGGGGTCACGGAGCACCCCCCACTAAATTTATGAAGGTTTTATTTTTATTAAACTAGGAGACCACTCCCCCCCTAGCGGCAGCTGTCCCTGTGCGGCACAATGCCACTCAGCACCTCGACTTGCCAGCGGGAATCGGTCTGCCAGTAGGGGGCGATGGCTGAGTGATTTGCGCGCAATTGTTTTACTTGGGATTAAACGACCCCGCAAATGACTCAGCTGGGATCTACGCAGTAACATCGCCGCACGCCCACGGCAAACAACGTGGCAGGACCCTCCTGAAAACCGGCCATGAGACTCTGTGAGATTTTCGTGGATAAACGAACTGGTAAAAAATATAGATAACGATCGCGATGATACATCATAGGATTGTAATCATCATCATCATCCACTGTAGATGTACCAATAGTAATAATCACAGTAGTCATCATTACTCAGTTGGAATTGCACGGAGCAGCAATCATCGCCCGCCGCTGGCAGACGAATGCGGACCGGAGCTCTGTCCCCTCGTGGCACACAGGGACAGCTGCTGCTGGGGGGTCCCCTGTGCGGCTAAACACTGCGCCGTGAGACGTTGCGGAAACGTGACCGACGCAAATCATTGCTGCAATCATTGCTGCAATCATCGTTATCGTGTTCCCAAACCTCTCCTTGCAGAGCGGAAGACAAGCGATTCATGCTCTTCATCATCATCGTGATCATTCAGAAAATGCATTGTTTGTGATAATCGCAATCGTCTTCATCATCACTCGGTGTTGACGTCAAAGACAAAGATCCCCCGTCTAGCCTCAGCAGACTGCTGGGGCAAGTGCTGTTTGCGAGCAGCATCAATGAACGCCGGCACGGCACACGAGGGGGTGTGGGTAGCCAACGCCACGACCTGCAGGCTTTGCCTCCGCGGTTCTGATGTTTAAACCGCACCACACGAGGTACTCATTGAGTCGATCTAGCAGAGGCCTAGGGATCGGTTCCAATATTCGCCAGTGATATTGGTCGTGAGCGGGAATCGAACTCAGGTCGCTGGGGTTTTGAAGATTCAAAGCGCAGTGCGCGCGCCAACCACTGCCGCCCTGCCGCCTCTTTCACCCCACCCACCCAAAACACACACACACGACACACACACACACACTACACACACACCACACACACACCACACACACACACTACACACACACACCACACACACACCACACACAGAATACACACACACACTACAAACACACTACACACACTACACACACCCACCACATACACTATACACACACTACACACACACCACACATACACACCACACACACTACACACATACTACACACACCACACATACACACCACACACACTACACACATAGACACACCACACATGCACACCACACACACTACACACACTACACACACTACACACACATACACTACACACACACACCACAGACACACACCACACACACACACCACACCACACACACACCACACACACACTTTCACACACGATACACATACACTACACACACACCACACACACACACCACACACACTATATACACACACACTCTCTACACACGCACATGAAACTTAACACGCGCGCACACACAAACACAATAATAGCCTCTCCACAAACGCATTCAATTAAGAAAAATCGGCGCTGCCGCCACTACCACCACCGCTGCCACTACCGCCACTTCTGCTGCTGCTGCCACTACCGCCACTGTCACTGCTGCCACTACTGCTGCCACCGCTGTTGCCACTGCCGCTGCTGCTGCCTCTGCCGCTGCTGCCACTGCTGCTGCCACTGTCACTGCCACTGCTGCTGCTCCTGCTGCCACTGCTACTGCCACTCTCGCTGCTGCCACTGCTCCTGCTGCCACTGCTCCTGCTGCCACTCTCGCTGCTGCCACTGCTACCGCGCTTTCTCTCACTCTAACACCCGCGGGGAGATGTCGACGCGAATAATTTCGAGCCCCTCCCTCCCTCCTCCTCCTCGGGTTCCTGCGGCCGGTGCGAGCACCACCGCGCGAGTCGCTTACAGATGTTTCCCTCCGACGATTGCCGTCATCGTCATTATCATTGTCGTCCTAATCATCGGCAGCAGCAGTAGCAAGCAGCCGCGAACGATACACTGCTGGATGAAAACGTCCTCCCCTGCACCCAGCAGCACGCTCCTATGCTGATCTCTCGGTCATCGTCCCTTCAGGCACATCATGATGATGATGATATCCTCAACCTGCCACGGGAATGTCGGTGTCATGTGACGGGCAATCTCTTGTAGAGCAGTGAAGTGGATATGACAGAGCTACATCTGAGATCATCTCAGGTAAAAAGACAAATACAATGACCCCTCCCGTATAGCCTGTAACAGACTGTAGGGGCAAGTGCTGGTAGCGAGCAGCACCTATGAAGGTCGGCACGGCACACGAGGGGGTGGGTGGCTAGCACCACGCCCGGCCGCCTTTGTCTCTCTCGTGGCGATGTTCACACACCGCGCCAGGCACTCATTTGAGGACCGGTGCAGATAGTCGTCACTGGCGTTGGCCATGAGCGGGAATCGAACTCGGGTCGTAGCGCAGCGCTAACCGCTGCACCGCCGCTCCCCACACCTCCCCTCTCCCCCCCAAATAAAAAAAACACCGAATAAAAAATGAATTTTACAAAAATACGAAGAGAAAATTTCTCTCCAATCTGATCGTCTCCTTTGAGGTTCAGCTCCCAACGAAGCTCCCGGTGGCATGTGATGTGAAACGTCGGACGCCAGTCCAAACGATGCGCGGCAACGCAACGCGAACCGAGATTCTACAGTGGCGGCGCAAAGAGAAAATGCCTGCGTGTGCCTTTGTCAGTAGTAATAATAATAATATTTATTATTTTATTTTTATCACGCTCTCGGCTGAGCGCGCGATCATGCGGAGAGAATTGGCATCAATGCAATTGCCGGGACGCGCATTTGTTTTTTTGAGTTTCTGTCGACATGACCCCACGCATCACAAATCCCACTCTTCTGGCCCGAATTATATAAATAACTTGAACATAAAACTGTAATTCGCTACATTAGCCAACTCCGTACATTAGGGCTGCGTGGAGATCAGGGTTGGTGGTGGTGGAGGAGGAGCAGGAGGAGGGGGGGAGGAGGGGGATGCAGCAGCTAATCCGCGTTGCTGAACGAGTCGATGGAGAGTCTGTGTGCGTGTTGCATGGGATGAAACGGATCGTGTTGGACTGCACTTCTAGGCCCCCACATCTGTGCATCTCCCAACACTTGACCCCCTTCGGTGACGACCGTGATGGCACCGATTGTGGTGATGATGACGCTCATGATGTTGACGACGCTGATGATGATGACGCTGATGATGATGACAATGATGGTGACGTTGATGATGATGCTGATGAGACGATGTTGGTTCCTTGTGTCCCGCAGGCTCGAGTCATCTGGATGTGCTTCTTGTCGAGTGCTACAGCCCGCAGGCCGACCAGTGGAGTGTTCTATCCACTGCTATGCTGGAGGGCCGCAGCGGGCCCGGCTGCTGCACCCTCGATGGCCTGGTCTACCTCGTGGGCGGATACAGCTGGAGCATGGTCTGAGCCTCTCCCTTTCTCCCTCTTCCTCTCCCTTCTCTCCCTTCTTTCTCCCTCTCTCTCCCTCTCTCTCCCTCTTCCTCTCTCCCTGCTCTCTCTCTACATTTATCTCTCTCTTTCTCCTCTGCTGCACCCACCGAAAATCAGTTTTACGCGACACGTCTTTTCTAATTGTATATGTATAGAGCGCCTTAGCTCAAGGCGCTTGACTGAGTTTAAAAGCGGTAACAACAATAGTGGTTTAGATGGCAGGGGCAATGCAATGGCCGAGAAATTAGTGAGCATACCAGAGGTCACGTGGGGGACACGCAAGAGCTATAGGGGAGGGACGGGCTAGAGTGGAGGGGCGAGGGGAGGGCAGGTGGAAAGGATGGGCAGTGCAGAAGAGGCGAGCCTTTAAGAGAGGAGGGAAGGGAGGTTAAGGAGGGGGACTGCTCAATGTACAGGGGGAGATTATTCGATGAGAGTTGATGTTGACGATCATGTTACACGCACTGAAGGGATCGGTGCTTGCTGAGGGAGGCGGCTGGTTCAGACGCGATAGCGCTGAGACAGCAACCCGGGGTTTGAATCCGGACTTCGGCCGCCCGCTAATAAACCCAGTGATCGGTGAGTTAGTTTATGGTCTCCGCCCGGCCACCAATGACACGCACGCAGACCCACGACAGACACACAGGGAGACTCACCGGAGAGCCAGGTGTGATCATGGACTGCGGCTACAGCCCAGACTTGAGCCCAGGATCTCAGCCGTGCCAGCACAGGCCCCCTACCTCTCGTTACGCGCCTCGCTTGGTGGCGATATCCTGCCACTTGCTGTTGTTCCGGCTCCCCACGCCACCAACCCCCCTCCCCGCCTGCCCAGGGTGCGTACAAGTCGTCCACGCTTTGCTTCAGCCCGGACACGGACTCGTGGACAGAGCTGGAGGGGGAGATGGTGGAGCCGCTCGCCGGACCGGCCTGCACCACCAACGTCCTGCCGGCGCACATGCACTACCGCGCCTGACACCCCCGCCCCCACCACCACCTCGCTGGGGGGCGGTGGTGCGGTGTGTTTCTGCATCGCCTTGCCGCACGGGGCGGCAGAAGCAGCCGCGCTGTCCGCGTGGCACCACCGTTCGGTGATGGGGGAGCTGATTGGTTAGCGAAGGTTTAGAGCGCCGTGCCGTGTAATGCGGTGATAAGCCAAGCCACGGTAGACCGCGCCAAAATACACCACGCCACGGGACACCGCGCCAAAATACACCACGCCACAGGACACCGCGCCAAAATACACCACCCCACGGGACACCGCGCCAAAATACACCACGCCACGGTACACCGCGCCAAAATACACCATGCCACGGTACACCGTGCCAAAATGCAGGGTGTTTAAAAGAGATGGACCCAATTTCAAGCAGTATATTTCACGATGGCAACATGTTACAATTACACAAAAAAGTAACACACGGTTTAATGAGTTATTAAGTTTTATTAACCATTTTATAAATGCTCTATGTGCCCTCCACCTGCTGTACGGACAACATCGAGACGATAGTTTAATTCGTCCCAAACGCCTCTCAAAGTGAAGTCTCCTTACACTGAAGTCACCGCTGCCGTGATTCTGTTTTTGAGGTCATCCAGATTAGTCGCGAATGGTAGCACAAAAACACCACGGTCTTTGACGTATACCCTGCACAAAAAAAGTCGCAGGGTGTGATGATGTCTGGGGATCTTGGGGGCCAAGGGTGTAGCGCCAAGTCTTGGGGTGCTGTGCAACCTATCCAGCGTTGAGGCAGTGTTGTCTTGCGAATGACTGCGGCTAGGGGCTGTTTGTGCGCTGGGAGAGGCATCGAGCGGTAATCATTTGAAACTCTGTGCCCCGCCCTCTCTATGCCCCGCCCTCTCTATGCCCCGCCCTCTCTATGCCCCGCCCTCTCTATGCCCCGCCCTCTCTATGCCCCGCCCTCTCTATGCCCCGCCCTCTCTATGCCCCGCCCTCTCTATGCCCCGCCCTCTCTATGCCCCGCCCTCTCTATGCCCCGCCCTCTCTATGCCCCGCCCTCTCTATGCCCCGCCCTTTCAAGTGGTAAGAGTTTTTATTCGTGGGCGGTTCGTGGTTACAGAGACGGGTCCAACTTTTTAAAACACCCTGTACATCACGCCACGGTACAACATGCCAAAATATACCCCACCAAACTACACCGCGCCAAAATACACCGCGCCACGGTACAGCGCGGCACAACAACAACGACAACAACAACAACGCGTCACGGCTCCCTTCTAGCACAGCGCCACCTCGCGGCAGAGCACCGCGCCACGGCAGCCGGGCAGCCGTGGCGGCTCAGCAGGGCGCACCCAGCCCCTGCTGCTACTACTGCTGCTACTGCTGATGCTGCTCCTGCTACTACTACTGCTGCTACTGCTGATGCTGCTCCTGCTACTACTACTGCTGCTACTGCTGCTCCTGCTGCTGCTACTGCTGCTACTACTACTGATGCTACTACTGCTGCTACTACTACTGCTGCTACTGCTGATGCTACTACTGCTGCTACTACTACTGCTACTACGACTGCTGCTACTGCTGCTACTACTACTGCTGATGCTACTACTTCTGATACTACTACTGCTGATGCTACTGCTGCTACTGCTGCTGATACTACTACTGCTACTACCACTGCTGCTACTGCTGCTGCTACTACCACTGCTGCTACTGCTGCTGCTACTACCACTGCTGCCACTGCTGCTGCTACGACTACTGCTGCTGCTACTGCTGCCAGCTCGTGTCTGTGGATCCTCAGCTACTGTGAGAGATGCGATTTGCGTAAACGACGCAATATATAAACTAGACAAAGTCTTAATATTGTACCGTGCCACAATATACCACTACACACTTTGACACTACACACCGTGACACACCATGTCACACCCCACCACGTGACGAGCTGGCTTAATAACTCGTGCACCGACTGCAAGTGGAGGCCCCATCAGGAATGATCCATTCACTCGTTCCCTCGTCCGTTCCCTCGTTCCTTCACTCGTTCATATCGAATCTAGCTGCCAGGCGACACCCGTCAACGAGCACTACGCGAGGTTCATCGCCAGCGGCGGTGCTGGACATTCCACGTTCATATGGCGTGTTCAAGTCCGTTCTTACAGCGGCCAATACTGACTTTCTTAACAATAAACTGCTCAGCAGGCGTCGTTCTCATTGTATCCACCCCAGAGAAATGACGATGATGACGGTGGTGGAAATAAATCAGAAGATTATGACGATTATGATGATGCTGATAATGATGATCAAAATGACGGTGAGGATTTCAATGAATCAGATGATATTGATGATCATCAAGAAGATATTGCTAATGATGGACAATGAATCTGAAGATGCTGACAACCACCACGATGATGATGACAACGAATCGGAAGATGGTGACAATGAATTCAGTGATGATGATGATGAATATGATGATGAACATGATGATGACTGTGGGAATGGGGCGACCCTGGTTAGGATTTGAACTCTGATGTGACGATCATGGGTCGGCTGAGTTGCCACTGGCCTCTACCGCTGGGTACACATACACGCATGCGAGCGAGCCACTTAATTCCTTGTACAGACGCTGCTCTCTCTCTCTCTGGGCGTGTTGTGTTTTGTAACGCCCTGTGTTGGTGAGCATGGGCACAGACAGCTGTCTCCGTGCCAATTTCAACGAAACAGATTCCCGTTTGTAGTGAAAAATTACAAATGGAATTTAACATGATTGCGATTTTTGTGTGTGCAGCCATCGGTGACCGGACTGAGACCAATCAACTCGCTACACTTGAGAGCCCCGGTTTAACTCGGTCTACGCGAGTCTATGGGTCTCTGTGTGAGTTTATGGGTCTCTATGTGAGTCTGTGGGTCTCTGTGTGGGTCTATAGATCAATGTGTGAGTCTATAGATCTCCATGCGAGTCTATTGGTATTGTGCAGCCATCGGTGACCGGACTGAGACCAACTCGCTACACTTGAGCCCCCCGTTTAATCACAACTCGGTCTATGTGAGTCTATGGGTCTCTATGTGAGTCTATGGGTCTCTATGTGAGTCTATGGGTCTCTATGTGAGTCTATGGGTCTCTGTGTAAGTCATTGGTGACCGGGCTGAGGCGACGACCCTGGTTTAAACCCTGTGGTTCGGCAGCTGAAATCTGGAATCGAACCCAGGCCCTCAGGGGGCACCGGCCCCGCATCCCTGGCACGGCCATAATGAACCCAATGAGTCACCTCGAGAACCTGGAACTGCACCTTGACGATTCACGGTGCTCTACCCATGATGACGACGATGATGATGGTGGTGACGGTGACGATGATGATGCTGGCAATGGCGATGATGTTAATTATCTCGGCATGCATGTGCAATGGTTTCTGCATCAGACTCAATCGATGACCGTCACGTGAGCGCGGCTGCCTGTGATTATTATCACAATTGCCATGTTCTTGTGCTATACAGGTAAAGGTAAAAGCGCAGCCTCAAGAGGAGGGACCCCTCTAGAGGATACTTGGACGACTCTTCCACGCTGGTCAGCCGAGCTGAAGGAGACAGCAGCACCCACACTTTACCCCACCGCACGCGACCTGTTTACCTGGCTAGCTGCGGGCTACTATTTAATGCTGCTGGGTGAACAGACAGAAGCGGTGATGGTGGTGGTGGTGGGGGGCGAGAGGGGGGTTGAGAATCTTTCACAATTGTTGCAATTGCCGCGGCGGGAGGTTGGATCGAACCGGCGAGCCTCTGGATGACAAGTGCAGTGCTTGGTGACCATCCCCAGCTGTGTGAGAGTAGCATCCCCTACCCGTGCCCTACCCGTGTCTATGGGAATCGTTGCGCGCCATCTCGTCGGGATCTGGGCAACGACGTAGTAAGTGAATCAGTAAATGTTGAACTAAACTCTTTTTTGTTAGCAGATGAGGCCCACTGAACTACGTAGCTCTTTTTCAGAAGCCACCTGGCCACAAATGATAGCTCAACGAAGTGGCTTACCACGTGGAAATGTATAGCAGCCAAAAGGTTCTAAATGCGTGTTTCTAAATGTTGAGGGAAAAACCGGAGGACCCGGAAAAAATCCACGCGACCACAGGGAGAGAGAGACACGCAAACTCAGAATATACAGCAGCAGCAGGCATCAGGGTCGGGATCGAACCCACGACCTCCTCCATACCAGCCGAGGGAGTTAAACAAAACATTTGCAGCCAATCATAATGAAGCTTCTGCCCATCAGCAAATGAGGTGGGCTACCTGTCTCATAATAAAGCTGACATATAGTGCACAGTTGAGTTACCTGCGTCAGCAGGTAACCTACCTATCTTACACGATACAATTGAGTTACCTGTATTTGCAGGAACTTACCTGCCATAATGCACAGGTGAGTTACCTGCATATGCCGGTGACTTAACTCTGCTGTAGCACAAATGTGAGTTACCTATCCAAGACTCCACTTGTCCTGTACAGGTGACTTACCTCCCCGATAGGCTGCCTGTAGTATACTGTGCAGGTAACGTACCTATGCACACAGGTGACTTAATGCGATGGCGTACACGTGACTTACCTGTGCATGCCGGTCACGTACCCGTCCTATACAGGTGACTAATACGTGCTGTAGTACACAAGTGACTTACCTGTACATTAGTTATGAAGGATACAATACAAAACGAGACCGCACAATCGACGCAGAAGCTCACGAGAGGGGCAATGCTTACACACGAGACGGCACAAACGAGTCAGCCAATATAAGCTAGGCAGCACGTGACGTGATGGTTTAATCGACTCGTGAACTTGAATCGTGACAATTAATCGTGGGGGGAGGGGGTAGGGGCGGGGGTGGAGGGGGGGCTGGGGGGGTTGGTGGGACCCCCCCCCCCCCCTGCGGGGTAGGAGATGCGGTGTCGTCCTCGTCGCCGCGACTGCCCAAGTGAAACCTTTTAGCGAACAACGCACTCGGATTTTGTAATTAAATAATTAAATAATCCCGGTTCTTTTCATCAAAGATGCGAGCAGTGGTGACGACAAGACCTGTGTGTGTGTGTCACGTATGTGTGTGTGGCATGTGTGTGTACAATGTATGTGTGTATCATGTGTATGTGTTATATGTGTGTGTCATGTATGTGTGTATCATGTGTGTGTGTCATATGTGTGTGTGTCGTGTGTGTGTTATATGTGTGTGTCATGTGTGTGTGTATCATGTGTGTGTATCATGTGTGTGTGGATCATGTGTGTGTGTGCGTGCTACGTTTCCCTGCCGAGTTGAGTGGCAGGTGGAACTCGATCTGAACTTGTCCCCCCGTGATCGACTCGGCCTTAAATGAGCACCCTGATGCGGCCGGTACACATCAGCGCTGGGAAGACAAAGGCGGTCGGGCGTGGTGCTTTACCACACCATCGGCGCCAATAGGTGCTCGCAAACAGCACTTGCCCCAACAGTCCGTGTAGCCTACGGGATGGGGGGGGATCTGTGTCTGTGCCGTTGTTAGCAGGGCGCACTCTGCCCTCTGGTGGATGGAGGAGTCGCGTCCCGCACGGGGCCATCGTTCGCCAACGGCGTGGGGGAGCGGTTCAAGCTCCCTCGTCATCAGCCATGGTCAATCCACTGCTGGATGGAAGGCTTCAGCGAACGCCCACATCGACAGCCACGATCGATCCGAGAATGGGGAGCCAGAGTGGCGCAGTGGTGAAACCCGCGTGGTCGCAGCAAGAAGGGCCCTCCTCGTGGGGCGTGTGTCCTCTCTCCCCACCCCCTGTTCCGCATGGGTTTCCTCCACTGCTGGATGAACGCTTCCCCAAGCCGTCACCGCCTATTGACGCTCACGCGATGTAACACTCCATCTTGTTCCTGCGCATGGAGTTTGTTTCATCGCTCCATCCCCCACGGCGGTCGTCTTCTCGGGAGTGTTCGCCGCCTTCGGCTGCCACTCCGCTCTTAGTCTCGACCATTGTCCCTTCTAGCCACCACGTGTCCTGTCCGTGAATAGCGTGACACGCACGTCACCGATATTAATCGGAGGTAATCGATGCACTGATATACTCCAGCGGGGTCCCCATCACGAATTACGGCGAAGGGTCGACTCAGCCCATCATCCAGCCATGGTCGGTAAAATAATACATCTCGAGTAGTACCACTTTTTAAAAAAGAAAACAGAATCTGATCAATGGTCAGATTAGGCTCCCGTCGTGTATAATGTCCACCACTAGTCCAGGGCTGTCAAACTAATTTCAGCTCGATCCACGACTGACATTGGGTTGTGATAATTATTATGGGGCGGGAGGGGCCGGTCCATGAACCGAGTTCGATTCCTGGCCACAGCCAGCGTCAAATAGCCCCGAGGCTTAGAGAGGCCTTCATCCAGCAGTGGCATTACAAAAATGCCCTCTCCACGTGTCACTATTATGATTGGTGCCGTGACACTCCCCGTGCTCGCGCGAAGGAAGACGCGCAGTGTGTGACTTCAGGAGCAACGAGGTGGTGGGAGGAGCCCCCGACCCCTCCACCCCGGCCACGCCCCCATCCATGCCAGATCCGCCCTTATCCCTGCAGACTCCTCCTCCATCCCTCCAGGCCCCTCCGCCATTACTCCCAGCCCCTCCCCACCCCTCCGGCTCCTCCCTCATTCCCGCCCCTCCCCTATCCTTTCCGGCCCCTCCGCCTGCCATCATGACCCCTTCCCTATCTTTTCTGGCCCCTCCCCCACCCTTCCCAGCCTCTTCCGCTCCCATTCCAGCCCCTCCCCCTTTCCTCATGGCCCCTCCTCCATCCCGCCCGCCCGCCATCGTGGCTTCTCCAGCCCCTCCTCTACCCCCCCCCCAAATCCCTCCCGGCTCCTCCCCCATCCCCAGGGCCCTCCCCTATCCCTACCGGCCCCGCCCCCAACCCTCGTGGCCTCCCCCCCACCCCTCACCCACCCCGTGAGGTTTTTGTTTTGAGCAGCGCCGCCCTCCGGCCCGGCCCGAACTCGTCCGTCTGCCTCTCGCCATTGCAGGGGCGAGGCGACGCGAGGGTGAAAGGGGGAAGCGATAGCGGCGAAACACCTCGATAGCTCACGGCTCATACGCGATCAAAGGAGCACGCGGGGAAGGCCCGAGAACCACGGGGCAGAGCGTGCCGACTTCTCCTGCGTGAGATCCCCACTACCAGCAAGCTGCTCGCCGCGATGCCGGCGTCCGCGTATCGGGCCATGTGAGGGCAAGCCGGCGGCTCTTTTGTGCTGGGACTACCGACACTGATATAGTCAGCACGTATACACAGAGGGAGAGAGACGAAGAGGGACGGGGAGGAAGAAGAGGCAGAGTAGGATCGGGGAAGATAGAGAGCGAAGGTACAAGGGAGGTAAGAGAGAGAGAGACGAGCTCGTATACGGGGGACGCAGCCAAGGATTTTGGGGAGACGAGGAGATAGGAAGACGCAGAGACAAGGACAGAAAGACAGGCAAGGTTGCAGATAGACAAGGAAACGTTGACATTTAAGAGACCGACAAGGAGGAAAGGGAGACAGGCAAGGAGACGGAGACAAATAGGGAAGACAGGGAGACATACGAGAGACGGGGGAGGTGAGATTACAGAGGACACGGGGACAGGCAGGCAGAGGGGCAACATTGGGAGACAGGGAGACACATAGTGGAGACAAGGGGACGGAGAGAGACGGGCACAGGGAGAGCAAGGGGAAGCCATTTTGATCGCGGCCATGGCTAAGAAGACGTACGACCTCCTCTTCAAGCTGCTGCTCATCGGAGACTCGGGCGTGGGCAAGACGTGCATCCTATTCCGCTTCTCGGACGACGCCTTCAACACCACCTTCATCTCCACCATCGGTGGGGCCTCGGGCGGGCTGCAGGGGGCGCCGACAGGCAGCGGAAGGTCGGGGGTGGGGGGGGTGGGTAAGGGGTGGTCCACCGAGGTGGTGGTGGTGGCCGACTTGGCCGGGCCGACTTCAACCGAGCCCGGCCGGCGGCTCAGGAAAGCGACTAGGCCGCAGGGCTGACGGTAGGCCTAGGTGGCGATGGCCGGGTTTATGGCGATGTTGTTGGTTGTTTTGGCCGATGAACGCGGGGTTTTTTTCGATTCGAGAGGGCTCCGCGAACGCGTTTCGGTGCTGCGAGGCGTGGCCGAGCGTAGTTTGTGGGACTTTTTGAGGAGCGAGATGGCCCAAATGTAGGCGTTGGCCGCTTCCATGAATTTCCTCGTCTCAAGATGGCAACGGCGTGACACGCGAATCTCGAGCGGCGGTCGGGCGCCGCTCGTCTCTCGGTCTGTCCGCACCTCTTGATCCGAGTTTTATTCAACGTGGATGTTGTTAAAGTGTCGCCGAGGTGGCGACACAAGACAATGGCTGGTGTTGAGTGTTTTTTTTAGATCGGCCATGGCCAGGAGATGGGGGGGGGGTGTTTGTGGCTCAGACTGCCACGGTGCCACGGGTGGGATGGGGGCGCTCATGATGATGTTGATGTCGTGTGGTTGTGTTAACAGTTCGTGAGCGTGACGATGCTGGTTTTTTTTGTTACCGCCACTCCTATGTTCTCCGTTCAGGGCCAAAATTGTCTGAATTAGTGGAGCTATTATAACTCAAATATTGACGATGGCTGGTTTGTGCAGCCGTACAAAGAAGAATTGGAGAGGTCTGTGCAGTTATTATTGTAATTACACCGGGACGTGAAGTCGGGGAATGAGCACATCAGATAAATCATTGTCAGATTTTTAGCAAGAAGTAAATGAGCCTTGGGCAGGGTACGTCGCTAGACGGGATGAAGGTCGATGGACGAGACTGGTAACGGAATGACAGCCTAAGGACGGGCACCGCAGAGATGGAGCGATGAGACTGGTTCTCATGGCCAGGATTGAGATGGATTGATGCGCAGCCACCGCATGCCGAAAGCCGCTTCTGTTTGGCCGGATAGAGGGGGGCTAAACGGGCGCGGCACGGGCTGCAGAGGAGATGGAGTGATGCAGTACAGGAGTGGACTTGCTGATGATTGGTAACAGCGGTGTCAAGATCGGCATCTGGCGAGGACGCTGCTACTGGGCAGTTGGAGGCAGTCGCCCTCCAGCATTAACAGAGGGTGGAGGAGAGACGCTCACAACAACGAGCAGAACGCCGGGAGGCTAAAACGCAGCACGTTGACATAGTGGGGAGCACAGGCCCGTCATCTCGGTCAACCGACAGTTCACGTTGCCTCGAGGTGCACCTAGTCTGGCACAAGCGGAGTGTTGTCGTCACCGCCAAATCGTGGCGAATGGCGATTGTTGGATGACAGCGAATGCTTGGGGAGGCTTTCATCCAGCAGTGGATAGGCAATGGCTGGTGATGCAAGAGAAAGGGCGGTGTGTGTGCGTTTGCCCTGGGAAGGTGATGAAATAAATTGGTGGTTTTAGTTTTCAATAATTTCTCAAACATTTCCACACAGATACATACCGGAGACCTGACAAATACAGTGTGCTTTACCACAAACGTCACGGTCTTAGAAAGTCGATTATTATCTTAAATATACACGGCTTCGGTAACTGAATGTTGTGGACAATGGCCCTGAATTCTGAGCTGTGAAAGGAGAGGAACCTTGTCCGATATGTTCGCTGATACTCCGCTCTTCTTCAAGCGCGTTGGCCATTATAGGATAGGGCTGGTTCACATTTTTGTCATGCGTACGTGTGAACACATTTTGCAAAATGGTCACTTCTACATAAAAAACAACCCATTCAGCAACTATGTACACACGTACATAAAAATAGGGGAAATGAAAATCATAACATTTTACAGCCCTTTGTCAATCCGCTGCGGGATGCATGGATTCCCCCACGCCACGTCGATCGTGGGGATTGTTGCTCCATAATCTCGCTACCCTTGTCATTTGCGGGGTTGGTGAAGGAGTTTGGTGGCCAGGAATCACTCAGGTCGTGGGGTTTATAACCACCACTCGAATCAATTCCCACAGCGGATTTGATTGAAATGGGGGTAGCGGATCGAAAAACGGCTGACGATTACACACAGCATATATCCCTGGATGTAGTTTCTGTACTTAATGGCTCATTGTGAGACGGTGGGTAATTCGTCCCTGCCTCACGGCACTTCCATTAACCCCGACACTGGACTGGGTTCATGACATGTCCAAGACGAGAAGGAAAATGAAACACGCCTGAATCCTGTGTCTCTTCTCCGAAGTTGATTTTAAAGTTTCAGTTGCATGCAAAGTGCCTGCAAGTTTTGGAACTTTTTCAAAATGTGTCGCATCCAAAAATACTAAAATTGAGTAGCCGAAGTGGTTTAGGAATCAAACGCGATCAGAGACCACCTGGGTTGGTACCACGAAGATCCTGGGTTTGAGTTCATGTTTCGGCCACTCATGATTAAAGCGAGGTCTCAAGTAGCAAATTGATTATGTCAGCCCGGTCACCAATGGCTGCACAATAAAAGCCATCGATTTTTATTTTTCAATTTTCGCATATTCCAGCTCTCAGAAACAAGCAAAAAGCGCATTGAGCTCTCTCTGAAGGACATATAAAGCGCTGTCACTAACGTGGATCGAGGCCTATTTCAGGTGACTTGGGAATAAGTTATGATATTTAATAATCTGGGTACACTTTTTTGACGCAAGGTGGTCGTTCACAGCTAGCAGCAAAAAATGCTCGTAAAAGTGAAACCTTGCAACACGTGTCCACAATGAAAAGGTAATATAGTTGAAAATTATTGAGAGAATTTATTTTAAAGATCACAATGTAATCTTCAATGTTCGTCTGTTTTATGGTGTATCCATACCAATATCTCCATCGCTCACTGCGGGGAAATTGGCAGGGACGATGAAGTGTTTTGGCATTTTCCTAATACATGGATGTTACCGTAAATCTCGACCGTGAATTTCTATTAATTTTGCTTGGAAATAACAGCAACGCGTTTGTGTGTTCTTCACAGGAATTGATTTCAAGATCAAGACAATAGAACTGGGTGGGAAGAAGATTAAGCTGCAGATATGGTAAGTGTGTTGAAAGGGAGTTGGATGTGGATGGTTTCATCATAACCATCAGCCATGATCTATTCACTACTAGATTAAGGCTTCCCCAAGCCGTTGCCTTCTGCGGCCGTCTTGCGATGCAACAAACATTCGTCACGGACGACCCAGACGAGTTCGCGTGCTACGTGAGCGGCCCTCCTTCACCTGGGCGGGCCGCAGGCTTGACATCTTTGCTTGTGCACTCATCACGACTGCCACGCATCACCCTGGGGGCACTAAGACCAGGCCACCACAAGGGGTCCATGGGACGCATACGGCCTGCGGCCTGCCCGTTGCCCACCACTGATCTAGCTTCTGCACTCGAGTTGATCCCATCGCTTTATCTTCACGGTGGATGTCATCTCGGGGCGTGTTTTTCTCCTTTGGCTGCCGTTCCTTGGTTTCGATCTTTGCCTCGACCACTGCCCGCTTAACTATCAATGTCGTGTTTCTAAACGTGCAAATGAGGGTGGATTACAACCTCCGCATGTTGCCATTGGCGCAGTCAGACCTGGACTATTGCACAAGTTTCGCCAGGGCCCTTTGGCCCATTGGTTTGGAGGTAGCATCGCGTCTCCCTTTAAAAATAAATAATAATATAAAAAGCTTGTGCTTAATATAGTGTTCTATGTCAACTTGAGTCACGTCAAAGTGTCCCGCTGCTGACGTGCGTTTTTTAGGTGTTCATTTCCGTTGACGACCTTCACCGCGTCTCCAGTCTGAAGCAGGAGTAATACGATAGCTGAAATTATAACGGAAATAAGTAATTGAAGTGAAATCCATGAGTTCGGAGGCTTTTGCTGGACATGAACACCTCACGAAAGGAAGGAATATAAGAAACTGGGGTGGGGGGGTGCCTTTACCCTGCAGTAGGAAGTTACCAGCTAACAACAACAAGAAACGTTGTCAGTCCTTCGTTAACCAGCTGCTGGATGAAGGCCTCCTCGCGCTCTGTTGGTGCTGAGACCGTAATTTTCTGTTCTGGTCAATGTGGTTTGGTGCTGATATTAGCTGTGGCTGGAGTTTAACTTTGCTTGCCAGCTTAGGGGCGTATTGTGCGTACCACTGCACCTTTTTGCCTCAGAACTAAACCGATTCGAATAAAAATTGCTCCGTTGCTTTTTTTCTTCTTCAAATAAGTTGGGTTCATTAACAGATGTCTAAATTGGTAAAGTTTCTCTTGAACGGTCACTGCCCAAGTCCTGTATTGCAGTTCATGCTTTGATTGTATATTTTGTTCTTAATATTAGCCGTGATTGGACTGAAAACCCTGTTAACTGCGTCCGAAACGCATTTAATCAACCAAACCTAAAGGACGTGTTCATCTGCATCCTGTCCGCGAGCAGAGAGAGATTCTTGCAAGCACGTGTACATTTATAGCCGTCCTATTGATTTTCCAAAGAACTTTCATTCCATTTAAAAGGGGGCATGTTTGATTATACAGTTCAATTGGAAACCCAGCACAGTCGAACGCAATGTAAGTTTACATACCGCCTGAATGCGATGGAATGTCAAGACGCTGTACAGAAACGTTGATGTTTTATTTTACCGATAGATAGAGGCAGGCGGTCTTCGGCAGAGGCGATGAGAGAGGTCTTGCGCCTTAACTTGAGGCAGGGAGTCGACAGCACATGGCTTAGGGAAGGGGGAGTTCCAGACTATGGGAGCAGCAGATGAGGTATTGGTAAAGATTCCCCATTCCTATGCTGGGAACAAGCGTTATATGAGAGATAAAAATACTATATACAAGCAGTATTTATTGACTCCACAGCGATGGTAACGATGGTGATATGATGATGGTCTTAGTTGGTCCCTGGCTGGGCATTGAACTAATGACCTTGCGATTGCAAGTCGAGCCGCAAGACCAACCGGCCACATCCTGTCAACTTAAAGCAACACTGACCAATTGTGCAATGTTATGTTCCTTGTAGTGTGTGTTTTAAAATAATGTTTATATATTTTAAATATATACATATACTTGGGTGTAGCAGACGGAGCAGTAGTTCACGCATTACGCTGTGAACCTGGCGGCCCGAGTTCAATTCCCGGCCACGGTTTAACGCCAGTGGCAATTTCTCCAGTTTCCTCCCACGTGCAGTCAGACGCTGATTTACATGGCGTTGGGTCATCCCAGTGTGGTAGCACGCTTCTTACACAAGCATCTTGAGACTCGTCAAGCCTTTCCTGGCTAAATAGAACGCAAAAATAATTAGCACTATCGCCATCTCACAATCCTTGTTACGTCGCATAGTCATGAGGAATGCCGACGACTTTGGGGGAGGTGGGGGGAGGCCTTCAGCAGTGGATTAAAAGTGGCTGATGGTTATGATAATGATAAATTATTGTAGCCTCAGTGCTATCACCCAGCAGTGGTGCATCGCAAGGATGTGTCGTTGGGACATGTTTAGAGCATGTTGCAAAGCGGACTATGCGTGTTTGCGGTCGCATGTGTGCACGTGTGTGTGTGTGTGGAGCGGCGGTGCAATGGTTGGCGCACTGCGCTTTGAACCCTGTGACCCGAGTTTGATTCTCGCTCGCGGCCAACATGGGTGACGATTATCTGAACCTGTTCCAGGCCTTCCCAAGGTCGACTCGCTCTGAAATGAGTACCTGGTGCGATATGCAAAAACGCCAGCATTGGGAAGACAAAGGTTTGCCGGTGGTGGTTCTGTCACCCCACCAATGTCCATGCTGGTCTTTATGCTGCCTATAACAAAACTTCCCTCCAACAGTCTGTAATAGGCTACACACAGGGGATCTTTCTGTGCATGCGTGTATGTGTGCGGGCGTGTGTGTGTCTTTCTGTTGGGTGAGCTCACCTGCGCCCCAGGGCTTGTCTTGCTTGTGTCGGCCTGACTGGCACGGAGATTCCCGCAAGCGCTTGGCTCCGCACTGTGTGGGCGTTGTTTAAATGTTACCTGTGGAGGTGACGACGCTACGTAGGCTAAGAGCCCTGTCCCAACCGCAAGTGAAGGCCGTTAGGGTGCAGCAGGACGGTTAACTCCCTACGGCAGAGTTTTCCAGTGAATCGTTTTCTTAAAATGACTGATGCTGCCTCAACTTGTCACTCACTTGCCCATTTACAACCATTCATTCACACTCTCGCACATGAACACACTCGCTCAATGAACACACATAGTCACACATTGACTCCCTCACATGTACACCCATGAGACAAATATCCCCCATATAGCTTTAACAGACTGTTGAGGCAAGTGCTTAAATGAGTAGCGCCTATGAAGGCCGATTCTGCACACGAGGGGGTGGGTGGCCAGAACCTACCCGGCCACGTTTGTCTCCTCAGTGGCGATGTTTACACACCGTACCAGGTTCTAATATGAGGCTGAGTCGACCTAGAGGAGGCCCAGGGCCGGTTCAGCTAATCGTTTCTGGTGTTGGCCGTGAGAGAGAATCGAACCTGGGTTGTCTGATTTGTAGCGCAGCACGCTAAACGCTACGCAACACCGCTCACAAGCTCACACACCCACTCGCAGACCAACGTGCGTCTTCGCTCACAACTCGTGCACAAATGGAGACAACTCCACCCTCCAGCGACCGTGCGAATGCGTCCATCTACTTCAAATGGTGGAGCATCTGCGTGAACAACTGCCCTCTGTCCAACGTTTCGCTCTAGGTGCCGGGAGCATTTTTAGGAACTGAATTGAGTGCTATAGTGTTGCCGGCTGCTGCTGGCGGCGTTTTTGATATAGGCCCGGCGACGTTGACGGTGCAATCCCAACTTGCGCGAGGGAGCGGGTGGACGTCTTTGAACGTGGTTCGATTTTTAGGAATGGAAATCTGGCAAATGAGCGAGCGTCGGATTTTGAGTCGCGCACTTTAGAACGTTAGTGCGGTGTGAGAGTGTAATTATAGTGGCGTTCCTTTCCAACGCTGGCATTGAGCCAGCAGTGGAATTTCCACATTTTCATGGTGGGGATACAAGTCCGAAGACTCGTTATTCTTTCTCACGTGCAATGCATACAGTGAGGGAAAAAAAGTATTTCATCCCCTGCTGATTTTGTACGTTTGCCCACTGACAAAGAAATGATCAGTCTATAATTTTAATGGTAGGTTTATTTGAACAGTGACAGACAGAATAACAACAAGAAAATCCAGAAAAACGCATGTCAAAAATGTTATGAATTGATTTGCATTCTAATGAGGGAAATAAGTATTTGACCCCCTCTCAATCAGAAAGATTTCTGGCTCCCAGGTGTCTTATACAGGTAACGAGCTGAGATTAGGAGCACACTCTTAAAGGGAGTGCTCCTAATCTCAGCTTGTTACCTGTATAAAAGACACCTGTCCACAGAAGCAATCAATCAATCAGATTCTAAACTCTCCACCATGGCCAAGACCAAAGAGCTCTCCAAGGATGTCAGGGACAAGATTGTCGACCTACACAAGGCTGAAATGGGCTACAAGACCATTTCCAAGCAGCTTGGTGAGAAGGTGACAATAGTTGGTGCGATTATTCGCAAATGGAAGAAACACAAAAGAACTGTCAATCTCCCTCGGCCTGGGGCTCCATGCAAGGTCTCACCTCGTGGAGTTGCAATGATCATGAAAACGGTGAGGAATCAGCCCAGAACTACACGGGAAGATCTTGTCAATGATCTCGTCAATGATCTCAAGGCAGCTGGGACCATAGTCACCAAGAAAACAATTGGTAACACTACGCCGTGATGGACTGAAATCCTGCAGCGCCCGCAAGGTCCCCCTGCTCAAGAAAGCACATACACATGCCCGTCTGAAGTTTGCCAATGAACATCTGAATGATTCAGAGGACAACTGGGTGAAAGTGTTGTGGCCAGATGAGACCAAAATGGAGCTCTTTGGCATCAACTCAACTCGCCGTGTTTGGAGGAGGTGGAATGCTGCCTATGACCCCAAGAACACCATCTCCACCGTCAACCATGGAGGTGGAAACATTATGCTTTGGGGGTGTTTTTCTACTAAGGGGACAGGACAACTTCAGCGCATCAAAGGGACGATGGACGGGGCCATGTACCATCAAATATTGGGTGAGAACCTCCTTCCCTCAGTGAGGGCATTGAAAATGGGTCGTGGATGGGTATTCCAGCATGACAATGACCCAAAACACACGGCCAGGGCAACAAAGGAGTGGCTCAAGAAGAAGCACATTAAGGTCCTGGAGTGGCCTAGCCAGTCTCCAGACCTTAATCCCATAGAAAATCTGTGGAGGGAGCTGAAGGTTCGAGTTGCCAAACGTCAGCCTCGAAACCTTAATGACTTGGAGAAGATCTGCAAAGAGGAGTGGGACAAAATCCCTCCTGAGATGTGTGCAAACCTGGTGGCCAACTACAAGAAACGTCTGACCTCTGATTGCCAACAAGGGTTTTGCTACCAAGTACTAAGTCATGTTTTGCAGAGGGGTCAAGTACTTATTTCCCTCATTAAAATGCAAATCAATTTATACAATTTTTGACATGCTTTTTTCTGGATTTTTTTGTTGCTATTCTGTCTCTCAATGAAATAAACCTACCATTAAAATTATAGACTGATCATTTATTTGTCAGTGGGCAAATGTACAAAATCAGCAGGGGATCAAATACTTTTTTTCCCTCACTGTACATAGTTTGTTGTCCTTCCCCCGCACCGCCGATTAGCACGGATGGCTATGTACGGTGCGAAATAAGTTTTCTACGTATGTCTCTTTCTCGTGAGGTTTTTAATAAGGGGGCTGTGGAAGCGAATTTTTTTCTTGAAATGACGGATCAGAATGATATTTTCAACAGGACGTATTCAAGTGTTGAACGCAACACTCACGAATGGCATTGGCCAAGCATCCCAGTGTAGGACCCTCCTGTAAAGGAGCCTTGAGACTCAACGAGGCTTTCCCGGATAAATGAAGAGGCTCTGTTCATTATTATTTTTTATTTTCCAGAAACCATTTGACCACATAAAACAGGAGTTAATCGATACACACTTGGCTGCTGATCCTGAGCTGCTGTATTCACGTTCAGGGGCCTGCCGATCGTTACAAGAGTGGGCCCCTGCGTGTGCATTATTTGGTTGGCTGAGGTCCGCATTGGAATCCCACCGCCCCTCCCGCCCCCCCCCCCCCCACCCCCAACCTCTCGCCCCCTCCCTCCTGCTAGTGGTGGAGTGCTGAACCCGCCCCGGGGCAGCGTTCCATTGAATGTATTGCAACATACGAGATTGGTGCGCGAGCGACTCAACGGGTTTACAGGAAGAGAAAAAAAACAGGGTCTTGTACGCGGCTGCTCAGCCGTGTCGGTGCATATTTCCATCTGCATGCCTGCGTGCCTGTCTCTCGTGTGTTGGTGTGCCTGGCAACCCGAGTTCGATCCCCGCTCACGGCCAATACCAGTGACGATTATCCGAATTGCTTGTGGGCCTTCCCTAGGTTGACTCGGCCTCAATTAAGTACCTCGTGTGTTGTGTAAACATCGCCACTGGGAAAACAAAGGCGGCCAGGCGAAGTGTTGGCCAATCACCCCCTCGTGTGCCGTGCCGGCCTTCATAGGTGCTCGCTAACAGCACTTGCCCTAACAGTCTGTTTAAGGCTATATGGGGGATATTTGTATTTGTGTACGCACCGCAGTACAAACCCAGCGATCTGGGTTCGAATCCCCCTGTGATTTTAGTAGCGAGTGACGTATCAATGTGTTCAGGACTCTCTGCTAGGTTGACGCAGAGTTAAAAAATGAGTGAATCATTTGGTGTGGGAACACAGCACGAGAGAGATGAAGGTGGGTAGGCGTGGTGCTTGCCACAACGACCTCGTGTGACGTGCCTGCCTCAATAGTTGCTCGCTAATAGCACTTACCCCCAGCAGTCTACACGGCTACACGGGGAACCTTGTTGCTTGTGTGCCAGCGTCGTAGCGGTTGGTGCAGTGCGCTGCAGCCCCGTGCCGCTGGACGGGAGGTGGTCAGGGCTCGGTGGCGTCATCGGCGGCGTCATCAGCCGTCAGGCAGGGTGTGGCTTGCGGGGGTTTCCCGCCTTTGGGACGCAGGCTGTCAGGCGGCTGCCAGATTTAAAGGTGCCCGAGTCATCGAGCGGTCGACCACAACTGTCCACGAAGAATCGTCCCCACGGGCTCGGCCTGGTGAACTCGTCCCGACGGGCTCATCATCTCAGCTGCTGCAGCGGAGTGTGGAGTAGCCACCCTAACCCTGTGTGACTGTCCAGCTACTAGAGAACGGAGGACGGGAGTAATCTCTCGTTTGACGTGCGAGTAGTAGTAATAGTCGTAGGTGGTGCCTTCCTGCAATGTACCGTGTTAAGCGATGAGTTACTATACTACATCATTAGTGCACTGTAAAATCAGGCCGCAGATGAGGGTATGCCACGGTATTGTATCACTCCGCGTACTGCATCACACCTCTGAGCCGCCCAGATCAAGAAAGCAGTTTGTCGTCGACCGCTCAGAAACCACGTTACAACGGCCTGCGTTCAGCGTTTTAACGACCTGCGTTCGGCATTATAACGGCGTGCCTTCTGCGTTGTGCGGAAAATGTTCCTGAGTTGTATTGTGAACACCGCCACGCGTTTAAGGAACGACTTCCCGTCATCGATTCCTTCAAGGACTGACAACCCGCAATGCGACGGCAATTTGTCATCTCTGATTTTGCGCTGATCTTACTGCCAGTCTTTAACTTCCCACTGCTGGGCAAAGGCCTCCCCCGTTACCTTCTGTTTGTTACTTTTAGGACGAGCAAGCGAATGTTACGCCCGCTTCCCATATTCGTGTCTCAGCATAAAATATTCAGATGTGTTTTGCACATCCCATCGGTCTTTCATCCTTCTGGGAATGCATCTTTTCAGCAGCATTGGTTCAACGCAAGCAAAAACTCAGTGTCTCATCTGTGAAATAGAGCTTCATAGCTCATCGGATTCCTCCAGTCTAAAGAAAGATTGAGTCATGCTTGCTTAAACCAATGCTGGCGAACTGCCCAATATTTAAGTGCGCACAAACCCTCATTGTTTGGAAATGGGTCATCGTTCAATGCCAAACTATCTGAAAGAATACATTATAATTGAAGCGTCGTCGTTTGTACTGGCCACCGACTCACCCCCACCCTCTCGTGCTCCGTGCCGGCCTTCGTAGGTGCTGCTCGCTCGCAGCACTTGCCCCAATGGTCCGTTAAAGGCTGTACGGCGGGGGCGTCTTTGTCTCGTCTGTCTGTACGCAGGGACACGGCCGGGCAGGAGCGCTTCCACACCATCACCACCTCGTACTACCGCGGCGCCATGGGCATCATGCTGGTGTACGACATCACCAACGCCAAGAGCTTCGAGAACATCAGCAAGTGGCTGCGCAACATTGACGAGGCGAGTGCCCCCGCTGTGGTTGTCGGTCACCGACGCGGTCCGAAATTTGGCGACGCGACACCGTGCGGCAGCCCGGGCGTCCGACTGTCGCCTGTGCGGCGCGGGCCGCTTGTCCGCCACCACGCCCGAGCGCTTGTGGGCTCGGCGCAGCTGTTGTCCTCTGTGGGCGTTCACAAATTTGCGCTCTTCACGCACGCAGCCGCAATGTTATTCTTAACCCCGTGTGGGTCCCCCGCAAAGCTTCGCCCCAAGCTCGGCGAAGTGTTCTCCCCAAACCGCGGCGTGGTGTTTAATCGAAGTTTCCCGCTTTTGTCGGGTAACGTACACGCGTGTTCCAGAACTAACCTCTTGTGTAGGCGTTCGCTTAACCCACATTCACGCCCATACCCCGGTAGTCCCCAGCGTTGTCGAATATGCGTGACATTGTACTGTGTACGGGTGTCTCCCTGTGGCCAAATCGCCCGCAACGTGTCACGATCTCTCGCCGGATCGGAAAGCCAAGCGGGGGTCACGCCTGGCTCGTGCTCTCATGGGCTCCCCACCCCCCGTACGTAAGAAACAGGATGTTGTAGCCTGCTGTGGGGGGGGGGGGGGGGGTGCCCTGTGTGTCGGGCAGCAAGAGGGCACCACAGCCAGGTCAATCGTTGTACTGTACTTTTTGCGGTCTCCTGACAGCGGCAGCTAGCGTGGCGACTGGGCGCCCGCGGACTATTTTGGTGTTTGGCTGGAACGCCCGGTGTGTGACGTTGGCCATCCCCAAACCCCGAGCCACCTCTCCCGTAATCTCTCCCGGCTGCCTTTGTCCCCACGGCGCCGGTGAATGTGCTGAGACGGACAGCCCTGTCGCCACCGTTTGTCAAGTGGAGAGGGTAGAGAGGGGTGGGTGGGGGTGGTGTCCCCTATTTTTAGCAGCTATGAGCACGCACCTACCGAACATTTATGGGAATCCAACTTTGGATTTTGAACTGGCTTGCGGTGAGATTCGTGTGGGTGGATACTCCCCTGCCTCTTGAAAAAGGGTCTTGCCGGTGTGGAAGATTAGGCCAAAATATCCTCTATAGATGCCTCTAAGTGAGGCCCTTCTGCCAGCAGTGGCCTGAGCAAGCAATCGCAGGGCTGCACCCTTACCCCTGTTCTCATCCCAATTGTGCCATCGGCGTCACATCGCGGGTCGAAGGACTTCATAGAGCACGGCCCACAGAAGCGCACGTCGCAGAGCTCTCTCTGAAATGGCTTTGTCAAGTGACCTCCGGTGCACACAGTAGAGGGCAGCACTGTCCCACCCACCCTGCCCCACGGTGATGTTGATCACGTGACAGTCAAACCGATATTTTTAATTCTCAGAGCTGGAATTCGGCCACATCCAGCGAAGGAGCACAATTAAGGGAAGGCATCTATGTGTGCATATAAGCCTTGCCTTAACTGTGTGTAAGATGTGCACTATGTGAGCATACGTGAGCTCATTGGCACAAGACAGGAAAGTGGAAACATGACAAAATGTGCAGTTGACACCTACGGGCTATCTGCCCATGGATCGTGATGATGTGTGCAGCCTCGCTAAGGTCCGATCCTCGGCTCAAGTTTCCCCACGTCTCGTCTGATAGCACTCCGCCGCCCCCGCTTCTTCATCTTGCAACACCACGCTGGGTTTTTTTCACCGGGCTCTCTCGAGTCGTGACCCGAGGCGGACGGCTGACGGGGGTTTCCCCTCTGCTCTCTAAGGCTGCGTGCTTTTCTGGCGTGAAACGATCAGTGCAAGGCTGTTTCGCATCATGCCCCGGTCATGAAAAAGCCCAGGGGTGGCTGAGGCGGAGGAGAAGTAGCAACTCTGTCGGCCAGAATCTAATCGAGACAGTGGCACGTTAAAATAGAATCGGCGTAAACGTGTGGTGCAGCGTTGGTGACCAGAACTACCACTGCTGCTGCTACTACCATGTGGCCGAACCCAATGACAAATATGAATCACCGCATGATGTCCTTGCGGTTCAAATGTGACGGTCTGAAAAATCAAATCCTCGCTACGTTCCGCGCTGTTATTTTGTTCCACGCTCTGGTTTCGCCCCAGCGTCTGGTTTGTGTGCCTGGGGTTTTTTTGTTGTTGCGGGTGTTGTTTTGTTTTCACTTGCAATGAGGAACCCGTTTGTGCACTTTCCGTGTAATTTTCTTTCCTTGCAAACAGAGGCTTTGTGTTTTTTTCGTTGTTGCTTTGGCTTTTCTCGCCTAGTTTTACGATAAAGATGGTCGGCCGCGCTAACGCGGCCCCTGCGGCAGCGCGTTTGCCGTGCACTCGTGGCCCCTGCCGTGCACTCGTGGCCCCTGCCGTGCACTCGTGGCCCCTGCTGTGCACTCGTAGGCCCCTGCCGCGCGCGTTCACGGTGCAAGCCCCGCGGACACCCTGGTGAAAACGCAAGCCACGGGCGAGTTCCTTCCGGTGCACATCTCCCGTGTGCGGCCGCCAGTCAGTGGTGTGGACATGCCACCTCGATATAGCGGCGGGGAGCGAGCCTACCCATAGGACTCTTGACTTCCCCACAAAGTGGTACCTATTTTATTCACCTCTGAGGGAGGGATGATGGGCTGAGTCAACCCTCCCCCCCCCCACCGCCCCGAACAAGGATTTGAACTCGCACCTTTCCGATTGCGAGTCACTCGTCTTACAGGTGAACCACCTGGCCAGATAAATGAGTACTCAAAGATGTGGAGTGTGCGAGTCGTTAGGCAGGAAGATGTGGAGAGTGCGAGTCATTGGGCAGGGAGATGTCGTGGGGTGAGAGTTGTTGCCGATGAGGAGGGTTGACCTCCCTCCTCCACCCCCATGTGAGCAGCACGCGAGCGAGGACGTGGAGCGGATGCTGCTGGGGAACAAGTGTGACATGGAGGACAAGCGCGTGGTGCCCAAGGAGAAGGGCGAGCAGGTACCAGCCTCTTCACTCCCACGACTTGAACTACAACAACAACCGCACCAACCACAAGGGTTATGGGAAAGTGATAATTCTGTAAATGACTGGATTTAGAGAAATATATATTCATAACGTCAATGTTTGTAGGCCGCTAACGACAGTCACATCTCTATGACGGAACGCCCCAGAGAGAGAGGTCCTTAGTCGCACAAATGGAACGGTGCATCAAGTTGGCGCGCCGGCGCCAAATGGATTGTCGTGTGACCGAGGGATGGCGACGGCTTCCGAAGGCCTTAATCCAGCAGTTGATAGACCACGGTTGATAGACCACGGTTGATAGACCACGGATGATAGACCACGGATGATAGACCACGGATGATAGACCACGGTTGATAGACCACGGATGATGGACCACGGTTGATAGACCACGGATGATAGACCACGGTTGATAGACCACGGATGATAGACCACGGTTGATAGACCACGGATGATAGACCACGGTTGATAGACCACGGATGATAGACCACGGATGATAGACCACGGATGATAGACCACGGATGATAGACCACGGATGATAGACCACGGATGATAGACCACGGATGATAGACCACGGTTGATAGACCACGGTTGATAGACCACGGTTGATAGACCACGGATGATAGACCACGGATGATAGACCACGGTTGATAGACCACGGATGATAGACCACGGTTGATAGACCACGGATGATAGACCACGGATGATAGACCACGGATGATAGACCACGGATGATAGACCACGGATGATAGACCACGGATGATAGACCACGGATGATAGACCACGGATGATAGACCACGGATGATAGACCACGGATGATAGACCACGGATGATAGACCACGGATGATAGACCACGGTTGATAGACCACGGTTGATAGACCACGGTTGATAGACCACGGTTGATAGACCACGGTTGATAGACCACGGTTGATAGACCACGGATGATAGACCACGGATGATAGACCACGGTTGATAGACCACGGATGATAGACCACGGATGATAGACCACGGATGATAGACCACGGATGATAGACCACGGATGATATACCACGGTTGATAGACCACGGATGATATACCACGGATGATAGACCACGGATGATATACCACCGTTGATAGACCACGGTTGATAGACCACGGATGATAGACCACGGATGATAGACCACCGTTGATAGACCACGGTTGATAGACCACCGTTGATAGACCACGGTTGATAGACCACGGATGATGACGACGATGCTACCAACGCGTTGTGTGTAAAGGGTTCACGGCGACCCCTGCAGCCACAGGCGGTCCTCCAGCTCGCTCGCGACGAGTAAGCGACCCTCGTGTCAATTCGCGACTTCTGGGCACTTTGCGAGAATTCTTCGAAATCGCTGTGGGAGTGTGCGGCGCGAGTCGTCACAGCTCACCCGGGGGGGCGGGGGGGGGGGTGAGGGTGGCCCATCGCCCCCCCCCCCCCCCCCCCAGATCGCACCCCTCATCGCCCACCCGCTCGCTTGTTCCATTCGCAGATCTCGAGGGAGCACAACATCAGATTTTTTGAGACGAGCGCAAAGTCCAACATCAACATCGAGAAGGCCTTCTTCACACTCGCCGAGGACATCCTCAAAAAGGTGACGGTCGCTGGACTCGCATGCTCACTACCTCACTGGCTGTCTCGCTCGCTGTCTCGCTCGCTGTCTCACTCGCTGCTCGCTGTCTCACTGCTCGCTGTCTTGCTCGCTATCTCGCTCGCTGTCTCGCTCGCTGTCTCGCTCGCTGTCTCACTCGCTGTCTCGCTGTCTCGCTCGCTGCTCGCTGTCTCACTCGCTGTCTCACTGTCTCACTCGCTGTCTCACTCGCTGCTCGCTGTCTCACTCGCTGTCTCGCCGTCTCACTCGCTGTCTCACTCGCTGTCTCACCGTCTCACTCACTGTCTCACTCGCTGTCTCACTCGCTGTCTCGCTGTCTCACTCGCTGTCTCACTCGCTGCTCGCTGTCTCGCTCGCTGTCTCACTCGCTGTCTCACTCGCTGTCTCACTCGCTGCTCACTGTCTCACTCACTGTCTCACTCGCTGTCTCGCTGCTCATTGTCTCACTCACTGCCTCACTCGCTGTCTCGCTGTCTCACTCGCTGTCTCACTCGCTGTCTCACTCGCTGTCTCACTCGCTGTCTCACTCGCTGTCTCACTCGCTGCTCACTGTCTCACTCGCTGTCTCACTCGCTGTCTCACTCGCTGTCTCACTTGCTGTCTCGCTGTCTCACTCGCTGTCTCACTCGCTGCTCGCTGTCTCACTCGCTGCTCGCTGTCTCACTCGCTGTCTCACTCACTGTCTCACTTGCCGTCTCGCTCGCTGTCTCACTGCTCACTGTGACTCACTGCTCGCTGTCTCACTCGCTGCTCGCTGTCTCGCTCGCTGCTTGCTGTCTCACTCACTGCTCGCTGTCTCGCTGTCTCACTCGCTGTCTCACTCGCTGTCTCACTCACTGTCTCGCTCGCTGCTCGCTGTCTCGCTCGCTGCTCGCTGTCTCGCTCGCTGCTCGCTGTCTCACTCACTGTCTCACTCGCTGCTCGCTGTCTCGCTCGCTGTCTCACTCGCTGTCTCACTCGCTGTCTCGCTCGCTGCTCGCTGTCTCACTCGCTGTCTCACTCGCTGTCTCACTCGCTGTCTCACTCGCTGTCTCGCTCGCTGTCTCGCTCGCTGCTCGCTGTCTCGCTCGCTGCTTGCTGTCTCGCTCGCTGTGTGACTCACTGCTCGCTGCCTCACTCGCTGCTCGCTGCCTCACTCGCTGCTCGCTGCCTCACTCGCTGCTCGCTGTGTGACTTGCTGCTCGCTGTCTCACTCACTGTCACTCGCTCGCCGTGTCCCGCTCACAGACGCCAGTGAAGGAGCCGGAGAGGAAGGACGTTGTAGACACGACCAGCTCGGGTGGCGTGCTGGGCTTCAAGAGCAAGTGCTGCGCCTGAGCGGGGCCATCGCTGCTGCCCCCCCTCCCCTCCCACTGCGACTCCTCCTCTTCCCTCCTCCCCCTGCAACCCTCCAGAACCCCTGCCCTGTGACCCCTCAACCGGCCGCTGACGACCCCCGCCCTCCCCTCCCTCTCAAGCTACCCATCGGTGTCTGCTACTCGCACATCCGCCCTCTCCTACCGTTGATTTGTACTTAAACCGCGCGTGGGATGCGTACGCGATGATGTGAACGGAAGGATAAGGCTCCGGTAATACCATCGGCTACGGCGTCGCCACCGTTCTTATTATTATTTCATCGTCAATATTTTTATTCCTGTTTATCATTACTCGTCACAGTACTCAATGTGCATAGCGACGACAATAATAATGATGATGATGATTGTTGTTGAGTGACCTTAAAGCATGCGGTCGATTGAAGCGCCAGACGGAGTTATGCATTGCGCGCCGAGGCCCTCGGGCAAAATCCGGCCTGGCTCGGCCGCACACCGGAGCGGACCGCCCAGCAGCAACCCACAGTGTCCTCCCCCCCCCTCCCCAACCGTGAATCCAATCCAGCGAACTCTGCATCGGCTTTTGGGCACTAGAAGCAGCAGCACGAGTCCCCCAAGTGTCGCCACGGGTCGATGTTGACTCCGTACGATCGCATTCGTGGGTTCGTGGTGGGAGGGGGGTGGGGCAGGGTGTGTGGTGAGTGGCGTTCTTGCCCAAAGGCCGATCGAAGTAAAATACGAGTCCAGAATTTTTGCCGCGGCACGAATTTCCGTTGCACGCAGGGCTTAATTTCAGCCGGTTCAGTATCCGGCACACCAGGTCCAGAGTACCACCGCGCCTGGCTATGGCTGCGGCTAAGAGTCAAGTGCCATTTAATCCAGTCGAACAGCGACCTAAAAAGTATTTCCGTGCCGGCACACCACGTCCAGAGAGTATACCGTCTCTCTGTGGCTACAGCTCCATTCTAGCAGTGACTCGGAAGGTATTCGGTGATAAATTAATCCCTGGCTGCACCCAGACCCCCCCCCCTCCCCCACAGCCGGCCGCCTTCCCCCACCCTACCCCGTGCAGGGAGCGATGAGTGGATTTCTAACGCGGTCCCCAGGGATAAATATTCAATTTAAACAAACAGAAGAGAACCTCCCTCTCCCCCCCCCCCGATTGTACACCGGGGCCTGTAAAGCGCCGCTTCGATTTGGCGATTTCAAATTGGGCGGCGCGAAGGCGCCGAGAGGCGTCGCCGCGATGGTCGGCGACGTTGCTGGGGGCTCGCGCTGCGCTGGAGACGGCCGCACGCGGCCGTTGGTGGCTGCCGCACGCGGCCGTTGGTGGCTGCCGCACGCGGCCGTTGGTGGCTGCCGCACGCGGCCGTTGGTGGCTGCCGCACGCGGCCGTTGGTGGCTGCCGCACGCGGCCGTTGGTGGCTGCCGGACGCGGCCGTTGGTGGCTGCCGCACGCGGCCGTTGGTGGCTGCCGCACGCGGCCGTTGGTGGCTGCCGGACGCAGTCCGACGCCGAACTTAACGACGCAACGCGATTTGTTGATCCTTAAAATCGAATGGTAGCCGCGACCCCCCCATCGCCATCAACCCCACTTCCCCCGTCCGCGAATGGCGACAGTTCGCAGGGGTACATATGAAGTCGTTCCAGGCCCGTTGTGTCGTTGTTTTTGTTGGCCGGCCGATTGCCGCACAGGAGGGGTAGCGGCGTTTCGGTGGCGTCTCGTCTCCACGCAGCGGCGTCCCCTGCACGTTGTCGTGGGGGAGGCTTTGCCGGCGGTGTCCGTTTCTAGGCCTCGTCATTCTTGCCCGAGGTGGAGGAGGAAGTTTGCTCGTCGGTCCCCTGCCGCAACCTTGAACTGCCGGTGGTCACGTGTTCCCGCGTGCGTGCGCGCATGCGTGGGTATGTTCCCGTGTGCATGTCTGTATGTTGAACTTCTTTCGCACTGTACTTAGCCAACCGTGCTAATCGACGGTGTGGGGGAAGAACAGCAAACTAAACTGTGCGTGTTCCCGCGTGCGTACATTTGTGTGTGTGTGTTCCGCGTACGTCCCATGTCCAGGGCTTAATTGCAGCCGCGTCTTCTGATAAAATATTTACGCCCCCGGCACGCCACATCCCGAGGAAACGTTACGCTCGCAATGGGAGCGCGGGTACCGTCCTTACTCGCGTGCCAGCTGCACCGGTCTAGCCAACGAGCCAGGATATATTTTCCGCTCCCGGCACACCACGTCCACGGTATACTCTTGCTGCGGATGTGTCGGCTACGCAAGTTGCGTGCCGCGGCCAAAATAACTCTACGCCCGGCACTCGAACCGCGTGCCACCAATTCCATGTCGAGAGCGATTAAGCCCTGGCCGTGTGCGTCTCCTTCGCCGGACCGCTGCCAAACACTGGCAATGCTTTGCTTGTTAGGAGGAGGGGGGGGTGGTGAAGAGGTGGGGTGTGTGTGGGAGCGTGACGATGTCGCTGTGACGGGGCCCTGTCGATGTAGCCCCGAGTGCGCGCTCGGTCGCCTGTGCCCTCGCGAGAGCGGCCGGCGGGGCGGTGTGGAAAGTCGCGTCCCGGTGTGGGTGCCACGACCAATCCGGGTCCCCTCCTCCCCAATCTTCCCAAACTTAACCCACCACACCCTCGCTCCCCTGTACCACCCACATCCTCCTCTCCCAACAGCAACCACCACCTCCCCTGACTGTACGCCCATCCCATTTTAAGGTATCCATTTGTGTGCGTGTGAGACGGAGAGGAAATCCCACTTTGTAAAGCAAAACGAAACGATAATGTTGGCCTCGTGGCCGGACAGACGCATAGTCTACTACTGGGGGTGTGTGTGTGCGCGCGCGCGCGCCGTTTGAAAACTACGCTCTGGTGTAACGTGGAATAAATGAATGGCTCTACGACTTCCGTTTTGCGTGTCCGCCCCCACCCCTGGGCCCTCCCCTGTTTGGCCGATGAGCCCCCTTGTGTGGGGGGCGAGGTGCGCTGCGTGCCGGGTGAGGTTTGAAGTTGTCTGCGCGTGAGATGGGTGTCAAGACCACGCACCGTTTTGGCTTCGAGGAAGACGCCAGAACGGCAATCGGCTCCTCTTGTCGCGACACGGGCTGTCACACACCACCTGTCAGCTTCGTCAACGATTCCCCGTTCTCCCCCGTAAAGCAATGAAAGATGATGTTTCGTCTGGTGGCGTCACGAGAACTGGGCGTTGTGACAATTGGCGCTCCTTACCCGTGCAATCGATTAGGTTCTGAATTGCGTCGCTATTCGATTCGTGAGTGGATAGGTTTTGTTTTGCCATTGTGGCGAGCGCCTCTAGTGGCTACGGGGTTCAGATATCCTTTCCTCAATGAGAGTGCCAGGTCTTCAGCTCGAGTTCCCACCTTCCACCCTGGTCCGATCTTGAGTCGTCTTCGTTTTTCACCGGCACGTCGACCAGCAGCAGCGTCTTCTAATTTGTCATTTTTACCCAACCAACCGACATCCCTAACCTCATTTCCAGAACTTCTTAAACAACAAACTTCCTCACACCGAGGACGTGCCCAAAACCACATCGTGTGGCATCACAGGGGTTTGCGTTACCCACTCACGTTCAGTAAGAACACTCGGCAACATTGGCTCCGACATTTTTTGCCCGCTTGCCCTATGCGATGCAACGCGGACCCTAAGGATCAACTTCTAAGCGGCGTTATCGACGGCATTGTCCAGCCGAGGGCTTGTCGCACGCACGATCCACGAAGTCGCCGTGAAAGTCTTCTGTTGTCGCTGTCGAAGCTGCCAATAGGCCGCTGTGTGACGGCCCGCGAGTGATGCCGCAGCACCACCAAGCGATGGGTAACGCCAACCCATGAGCTGTTGCTGCACCGCCCTGTCGTGTCGTCATCCTCCACGCCCCGCTTCCACGGCGAGCAACCGTTCAATTGATGTGTACAAAAATGACGATTTAAATGCTGTTATGTCTTGGTTTTTGTCTTTTATTCGTGCGAGGGGTTTGGGGGTGCGTGCGCGTGCGTGTGCGTGTGTCTCATTATAGTCTAGCTCTGTGTCGTTTGGCTGCGGGCTGCAATTCACCCGGCGGCTCTCATGCCCGGCGTCGCCTCGCAAGAAGCACTGGGGACGCGATGGGGTTGTGAGTGGCGCATTTCCGGCAGTGACCTCCCCGCTCCTCCCACTGTGAATCCCGCTCGGCGGGAGAGCCGTGCGGGCCTCGCAGTCAGCTGGTCGCGAGTTTCAAATCACCGTTTGGTGACGGTTCACTCGGCCCATCATCTCTCCGGGGTCTATAAAATCCTGTATCATTTCGGGGGGAAGTCGACAGCGGGTTTCCTTTGCCAGAGGCCCCCCCCCCCCCCCGCCATAAGAATGTGGAATTGTCACCACTGGCTCAAGGGGTTATCAACAAGAGTTGACCACCGTCTCAATGCTCGTTTGAGCAGGAACTCGCTTTGACTTTCCCTATGAAAAAGGGCCACTGCTCGAAACGTCGCCTATTGTACATTAACCACGACTTAATTATGGAATGTTGTCTGGACCCCCTCCCTCCGACAGCGGGAAAGGAGGAGGGGGGGGGGGATGGCGGGGGTGGGGCATGAAATTTTCCGGAGTTCGGCCCCGGACAGCTCCAGCTAAAATTAACCATCGATGTTGATGCTGGCGACGCGAATTGTCCTGTCGCCACACGCGCGCATCCCGTCACGACGAGAGACCGTGATGACGAAGAAGACTATCATGATGATGTTGATACCCAGCGAGGAATCCAAGTCGATGTTGCTCAATTCTCATCGCTCCTGGAATGCTTCTGTTTGCGTTCGCTGCATTCAGCACACGCTGTGGAGAGGTCAACGTCCAGAGAGAGAGAGAGAGTGTGTGTGTGATGGAGGCACGCGCCGCATTAAACACAGCTATAATCTAAGGTGACATGAACACGTTTAAACTTTTTGTTGTTTTCAATAAACCCGGTTTTACGTTCTAAGCTTGCTCTCCGCAATGTGGTGGTGGTGATTGTGATGGTGGTGGTGATGTTGGCACAGTGGTGCATCCTGCCAGCCATCTCGGGTCCGTCAAGCCACGGCACCTGGGTCTGCCCCGTTACCTGCCCGCGAGCCGTCGACACTTCACGTGGCTTCAAGGTGCACCTAGCCTGGCACAAGCGCCGTGGCGACGTCACCACCACTTGGTGGAAAACGGCGGTTGTTGATGCGGGGGAGCGGTGGTGCAGCGGTTAGCTCACTGCGCCACGAACCAGGCGACCCGAATTCCATCCCCACTCACGACCAAACCCAGTGGCGAGTACGTGGACCGGTCCTCGGCCTCCCGTAGGTTGACTCAGCCTTAAAGATCGGTACCTGCTGCGGTTTTGTAAACAGCATTGGGGAGACGAAGGCGGCCGGGAGTGGTGTTACCAACACCACACCCTCGCGTGCCGTTCTGGCCTGGATGAGATTCTCGTCCACAGCACGTTCCCCAAGCGTTGGAGGAGGGTGGGGTGGGGTGGATCTTTGATGTTGGTTTTGAGATCTCAAGTACCCGGCGGTGGTGGTGGTTGACAACGGGAGGCTGATCGATGCCCGAGTGCGGTCGAGGGGATGGCTCCCTATTGGTCAACCATGTTACGTACGCTGATGATCTGGTGATTGCTGCTTACTCAGAGGAGGAGTTGGAGGCGCTGCTGCTAAACCTGGAGTGTGCCACCAAGAGGTGGGGTCTTATCATCAGCCCCACCAAAACTAAGCACCATCGGACACTCCACCCCCTCAGCTCTCCATTGGTGATGGAGCGGTTGTGAAGAGAGTAGAGAGTTTCCCATACCTGGGCAGTGTGCTTATGACGAGCTCCAATTTGACAGCAAAGGTCTCCGAATCAGTTGGGCGGCAATATCTTTTCATCAGCTGTGCAACGCTCTGTGGGAGCTACCTGGTCTGTCGCTCGGCACGAAGCTTCCGGTCTTCACGGCCACGGTCATTCCCTCCCTGCTCGACGCTTGCGGAACGTGGACCCCTCTAATGGAACGTCTGCGCCGGTTAGAAACATTCAGGATGGCATACCCACGATCCATCCTGGGTTTAACCAGGCTGGATTGTGTGAGCAGCTTACAAATCCTTGAAAGATATGGACACATTCCCATCAGTGAGCTCCTCCGGCGGGCAAGGCTGCGTTGGCTGGGACACGTAGCCCGCATGCCCACCCACCGCATGCCCAGCCACCGCATGCGCAAGCTGCTTCTGTTTGGCCACATCGAGGGGGGTTGCTAAACGGGCACGACACGGGGGAGAGAAGAGATTGACTGATGCGGTACGAGAAGATGTGGAGCTGAGTGGACTTGCCGATGACTGGTACCAGCGGTGTCAAGATCGCCCTCTGTGGATGAGGCTCGTGAAGGACGCTGCTGAGCAGTTGGATGCAGTCGCTCTCCAACAACAACGGAGGGCAGAGGAGCGACGCTCACAACAACAAGCGGAGCGCCAGGTGGCTAAACTAGTACCAGTCATCTCAGTCAGCCAACCCATGGCACCTGGGTCTGTCCCTAGACCTATCGGCGAGTCTTCGACACTTCACGTGGCCTCAAAGTGCACCTGGCCTGGCACAGACGACGTGGTGACGTTACCGTCGCTTCGTGGCGAATGGCGCTGGCTGTTGCTATTGGTCGACACTTTCCGCAGTCCACTGTGAACGAGTTGAGGGGGGCTGGTGGGAGAGTTGAGCGATTTGTGGCAGAATGACAACGACAACGCCTCCGTGTGGTCCTCCTGTGGCAGTGGTTAACCGGCACGCTCCTCGGTATAGAACAAGGCACTTTTCGGCTAATGGCCCCTCTCAGCTTGGATAAGAAGGCCAATCACCCTCTGCTGCTGCCTCTTTAAGGTGCTTTGAGGTGGCCATTCCACTTGCCGTGGCTTCTGAGAGGCGATGCCAAGTGTGGCACCGCGTGCGAGATCGGCGTGCACCCATCACGATCACTTCTCCCGGTATCTACGACCGGTTCCCGACTTCCGTGAACCTGGAAATCCAATTCTTAAGACGCTTTACCGCCTGACCAGTTTAACGTTTAAATAACACCCGCAAGGGCCGTTCCGAATTCTTAGCGGCTCGGCTCGGCTCAGCCTGGACGAGGAGCCACGCGGCTGCTTGAGCGGCTCGGCCCGGGCGCTCGGCTTCAGCCGAGTGGGATTCGTGAGGAGCCCGAGCCGAGGAGCCGTCTCTGAGAAGTGGGGCCCGCGTGTTTTAATGTCGCAGTGTAATTGCAGTGGCTGGTTTCCCCGCGCGGGATTCGAGGAGCGAGGGGGTGGGCATTTCAAGGCGCGACTCGTGGCGATGGTGGTTGTGGTGGTGAGTCATGCGGCAGGAAGCGATAAGTGAGCGGGTCACCCCTCCCCCTCCCTGCGCTCTCCTCATCCCCTCTCGCGCGCTCTCCCCTCGCGCGCACCACTCCTCTCCCGTATCGCGAGCCACGCTCCCTGCACGACACTCCGCCCGTGCACTGTCTCGCTGACATTTCCCTACCCACACTCTCCCTACTCTCCCACCTCTCTCCCTCTCTCTTCGCTCTCCCTCCAACTCTCTCGTTCCACGCTCCCTCTGCACTCGCTCACCCCCCTCGCTCTCCTCCACCTGACCCCCACCACCTCCCAATGTTGGCGAACAGCAGCGTCATGAATGTGACCACATTTAGCTCTGATACACGTTATACAGTATGGTACTCTGTAATCATATTATTAATCATTGATAATCATGTTTTAACCCGTAGGGTTTCGCAGCCAATATGATTCATAGCTGATTTTTGGGTGAGGCTCAAAACTCCAAAAATGAATTATGATCAACAATAATAATTATATAATTAATGCCATAAATGCGTTTTATTTCATATTGCTCTGGTTCTTGGCTTGTGGCCCCCGCATATAAATCGAGGCTGGTGAAACGGGAAGTGTTTTGTGCATGAATGAAGGATGGTAAAACCAACCAGGCGTGTACAAAGCTGCCAGGCCCGATGGTCTGGGCAGGTCTGCCCCCAGTGCACCTCCCCAGACGCGGGTTTTGAGTTTTCGTCCTGAAAATGGCGTGACTACCAGGACGTGTCCGGGTTCAGCCTGCCAGACGTTGGGTCGCTGTGAACAAGCGGTTGTCTATACCGTGAGGCTGGCGACTCTCGCAGCGGGGTTGTGTCTGCTACGATAGACGTGGAACACATCAGGAATGTGTTCCAGATACAGTATCGGGATTAATCTCCACCCTGCAGAAGGGTCGTTTCCTAAAACGTTTATGAAGCAGCCAAAGCCACTGGGCTGTGTGCGAGGTGACCAGGATATGGCAGCACAGCATGTGGACTCGTGAATCCATCTGTGCGGAGCTTTGAGTGTGACCTCCACCTGGTTATTCATGGTTGGTTTTCTCCGGCTACTCTGAATTCCTTCCACACGAAACCAAAAATCAAACCATGGAAATGGCCGAACAACTCACGTGAGCAGGACCCCCTGAACAGGAGCCATGGGACTCAGTGAGCCTCTTCTGCAGGGGGAGGCGGGGGGGGCGCTGTTTGGGGTCCCCCAGAGACCACGAGGGGGCGCTATCTCCACGTGGTGTGTGGGGGGGGGCCTCCACGGGCAGCAGGGGTGGGGGTGGTGGGGGCATTTGGGCGACGATGTGACCAGGGCAGTCTATGGCGGTACAGCTTGAGAATTGTGAAATCCATCTGTGCGGACCTTCTGCGTTTTACTCGCCGGTGCGTGTGGCTGCTGTTTCTCTTCATGGCCGAACATCAAACTGCAGCAGGACCCTCCTGAGGAGTGAGTCTTGAGACTCAGTGAGGCTTTCCTGAGTAAGCAACAAAGTTATGTGTATGTACCTTTAATGAAACATTGAACCGGTTAAACCGGTAACCGATTGATATTTTATTGGGAGGGGGGGGGGGGTGCGGTTAAGTTTTGAATTTCGGTTCAAGAAAATATAGCGGTTAATTCTGGTTTTCCGTTACGGTTTTTGGTTCCGACTGATTGGTGTTGTTAAAGGCAGTCTAAGACGCAACCAGCTCTTGTAACGTCACACACGTGGCGCGTGATGCAAGAATGCCGCTAAATTTAACAGCACTGCAGTGAATAGCAGCGCCTCTAGTGGCAGTAGGGGGGACGTTAACCCATTGCTGACAGCATGGGGACATGAAATACTCGATTCTTACACTTGACATTCGATGCATGCATGCATCTCAATACTGTAATCGATATTAATCGATTAACCGTTTAATTCTTACACCCACTGCACCGTTTGCTGAAAGGGGGGATAACCAATGAGACGGCTCCATCGACACCAGGGTCAGCCCCTCCCCCCACCCCCAATCCACCCCCCCCCAACCCCTCATGGCCCCCACCCTCTCACCCTCCTTCGCCCCCCCCTCCCGATCCCCCCTCCCCGCGCCTCGCCTCCCCTCTTCGCTGCGACGTCACCGCGCGTCGCGTCCCGACCGTGATGACGCCCACGCACCGCGAGGGGCCCCCCGCACCGCGAGGGGCCCCCCGCACCGCGAGGGGCTCCCGCACCGCGAGGGGCCCCCCGCACCGCGAGGGGCCCCCCGCACCGCGAGGGGCCCCCCGCACCGCGAGGGGCCCCCCGCACCGCGAGGGGCCCCCCGCACCGCGAGGGGCCCCCAGCACCGTGAGGGGCCCCCCGCACCGTGAGGGGCCCCCGCACCGTGAGGGGTCCCCAACACCGTGAGGGGCCCCCGCACCGTGAGGGGCCCCCCGCACCGTGAGGGGCCCCCCGCACCGTGAGGGGCCCCCCGCACCGTGAGACGCCAGCGACGACATCACGTGGCGTGCAATGTGCCCCTTTCCATCTCGTATCCACACGTGGGGGGTTTTTTTGTTACCCATCCCATCAGCCGCTCGGCGCTCTGGGAGGAGGGCATCTTTATATCAACACAAGCAAACCTCTGGACTGGTATCGAGAGCAGTCGGTTTCTCGTCATCATCGGCAGCAAGAGGG